AACCCCGTTTTCCTTTTTTTTTTTTTTTTTTTTTAGGTTATAGAATAAGTATTGGTTTCGATTCGATTATATTAATTGAAACGCGTATAGTTCTTTCTATCTAAAAGGAAAACGTTAAAATAATTAAATAGGATTGCAATAAATAGAGCAGAAGATAAAAAAAAAAAAAATAAATACTGATATTCTGTTCGTTTTTTTTTTCCTTCCCTCTTTATTCGTCTGTGAAATCATTGCGCAAATACTTCGTTTGGAGACTTCGCGGTCGCCGGGCAAATACAACCGGCGAGCCAAGTATTACGGAGGAGTACAAGCTCCATTGTGATTTTAATTCATTCTCAGGTCTAACGACGACGTGTCGTACCGCGGCAAAGTCGGCGGCAAAGTCGAAGAAGAGGAACGGAAGAAAAGAAATGGCGAAAGAAAAGGGGACGGAAGCGACGCGGAGAGGAAGAGAGAAATCTTCTCTCCACGACCGAGAGAACGAAAAAGTACCGCGTGTGCTCGTTTAAACAAGCTGCCAACGAGTAATTAATCAGCGTTAACATGCACTCTTTACTGCGCGCATAATGAAGCCGATTAGATGCGCGTCGAAGCTTTCATCTCTCCAGACTGCGTCTCTCGTTAGACAGACTCGTTTCGCCGATACCGCGGAAGATGGAAAAAAAAAAAAAAAAGAAGAAAGAAAGAAAGAAAGAAAGAAAGGAAAAAAAAAATCAGAACGGCGGAGGTCCCGAATGGGGCTAAACATCATTTGCGGGGTCTAACGATATCGTCGTTCGAGATAAGTTTAATATTCGAAACGCGATGTTTGCCGGTCGCGATACGAGGAACTTTCGTACGACAGTGCTCTTCGATTCTTAATGGGGAGATGTCGACAACTTTGATGAATCATTCGTGGAAAAAAATTTTTAGTAGACTGGAAAAAGTGGAATACCTTCGTCTTTTTTCTTTTTTTTTTTTTTATAGTAATATTCCGTGTGATTTGATAGAGTGATTAATTAAAAATATTTTCCTCGTCACGAATTTTGTCGTTCCGATCGAGAAAGAGATCTTCGAGAGATCGTTTTGAATCGGAAACGAGGTTGAAGAACGCTGAGCGAGAGGGTCAGATTATCTTAATACCACCGAGGCGGAAGTATATCTCCGGTATTATCGGTAGCTTCGCGAACTTACGAGAGGATATTCAAATCGATCATTCCGGTTGAATATTTTCTAGTAATGGAACGTGGAAGTCGCGTAACGATATGGTTTGATAGAATACCGTGTATGGGAGTCACGAATCACTACTTATTCCATCAATCTTGTTGAAAATAAAAGAAATTGCTTTTTTTTTTGAAGAATGATCGAATTGAATTTTCGCGTGAAATATTTTAATTTTCAAACACACGCGTGTTCTTCTTTGCGATGAGAAAGAATTTCATTACAAGAAAGGTAAAG